TTTTCCCTAAGTCCTGCCTTATTCTCTCCTTAACACTGTGGTCTGCCCTCCAGCCCCCACTTCCACTCAAACTGCTCTGGGAAGTCACAGATGACTATATTGTTGCAAAGTTCAGTGGAAACTTGTCCATTTCCATCTTAAGTAATTTCTGGAACTGTTGACTACTTTCTCCTTGAAACTGTCTTGAACTGCTGGACAGCTGCTCTCCTTTTCTTGGCTTTTCCATTTCCTTTGCATCCTTTTCTTACACTCCCCTGGCTTAAAATGCTATGGTAGTCACCTTTTCTCACTCTACACATACTCCTTATCAGCTCCGTGGCTTCAGTTCTTACTTCCATGCTGATGATACCCAGATGTATACCTCTGACCTAGAGGAATTCATGTGTTCCAGCACCACAACCATTTTTCTATGTAGTGTGTGTGTGTGTGTCTTCCTGCATACCTCTTGGCTGTTTAATCTCAACATGTTCAAGAAGAAAATTATCATTTTTCATTCCCAAAATGTTTTTCCTATATTCCACAGCTTGGAGTGGTACCACCAATATCTTCAGGCAGAAGCCACAATCATCTTCCATTCCTTTCTCTTCTTTACCCCATATTTAATAAACCAGCCAAGTCCTGACAATTCTAGTTCTTAATACCTCTATAAACCTATTGCCAATGCTTGAAGTTTGAGTTCTCATCATCTCCTGTCCCATCACTGAAATAGCCCTTCAATTGGTCTCCTTGTATCTAAAGCAACACTGTCCAATAGATCTTTCTGTGAGGCTGGAAATCTCCTGTATCTACATGTCCAATAAGGTGGACCCCTGCTGTAGATAAGGTTTAGTCTTTGAAGAATTTCAGAGAGAGAAAACTCTCATTGGTAGCAGTGGGAAAAACAGTCTAGAGCTGTGCTGTCCAACACGTAACCTATTAAATCAAAATAAATAAAATTTAAAATTCAGTTCCTCAGTCACACAAGCCACATTTCAAATGCTCAATATCTACAGTACATGTGACAAGTGGCTACTGTACTGGACAGGGCAAATACAAACACCTGCCACAGCAGGGGTCTGTAACATACAAACTCCCTGTAATTTTGCTCACTTTTTTTTTCTTTTTCTGGGAAGATGAATCATAGTGTTTATCAGCTGTACAAATAAAAATGATTTGAAAATCAGGCACCAAAGTCCAGTTTCATTAACACTGTTATTACAGTTCCTAAATCCTTCCTGATGTGCCCCATGTACAGCTCCAGCCTTATCTTCCACCATTGCCCCACATACGTAGTGTACTTCAGTCTAGTCATTTGGAACTAGTTCCGTTTCCTAAATGGGCCACAGTCTCTTTCCTGTGTTTTCACACATGCTTTTCCTTCTGCCTGGAAGCCTCTTCCCATCCTACCTCCATCCCTCCCTCTTTGTTACCTCCTCTCTTCAATTCTGTCTCCTCCTCTGGGTTATTCGCACTCATTTTTCAGGATTCACTTCAGCTGTCATGGCATTCTGGTAGATGCTAAATAAATGTCTGTGGGATATGGCTACCTAGCTTAGCATTTTTCAAGTACAGTCCTCTTTCTGGTTCCTTCTGAGTGGCTGTTTGCCAGTGATCCCATGAATCAGCCAGAAGTGCCACCTAGTGGCATGTGCAGAAGACAACAATCCCCTCCAAATGGAGCATTTCACTAAGAGGGATAAAACTTGGGAAAGGGGGTAAAACTTGGAGAGTGGACAGGCCTTTCTCCCCACTACTACCCATAGTAGTGAGAATCTACTATGGCTCTTGGCTATAGTAGGTAGTTTCACGTTTTCTACCTCACTTAAAACTCCCACCTGGTAGTAGGCATCGTTTCCTCTTACAGATGCAGAGTCTGAAGTTCAGAGGGGCCTCCTTAAAAGCCCCCTCTTTGCAGGATTGGAAGCAAATGAAGAGGAAGAGTATGTTGTGTTGGGCCCCTTTTTTTCCCCCAAAGGGTGGGAAGTTCTCACTTAGAGCTGGTGAGAAGGATCTCATTAAGGAGGTGGTTAAAGATAATCCCTCTCAGTGATACAGTTGAGGGGATTAGGAAGATAACTTTAGGAGTCTCTAAGAAGGCAAGAGGTTCTCTTGAATATATACCTAGGGGTGATATTGCTGGGTCATACATAACTCTGCTTAACCTTTTAAGGGACTGCCAACTGTTTTCCAAAGAAGCAGCAGCATTTTGTATTTTTACCAGTAGTGTATGAAGGCCTAAGAGATCTTTTAAAACTGCAGATCTGTTCATAAGAGTGCAGGTGAAAATATAGGAACATAACTTTTATATAGCTCTATTCCTTTTCCCTCTTTCTCTGCTATTAGTGTTATGCAATATTACATCTATGCGTTGCAAACCTAATAATACTTTGTAATAATTGCTTTATATAATTTGATGTCTCTTAAACTGAGAGAAGAAAGAAGTAGATATTTATAGCATTACTTATATTAACCTTATATACCTTTCCTGGTTCTCTTAATGTGTTCCTATGAACTCGAGTTATTATCTGGTGTTATTTCCTTACTCCAAATACACCTTTGATCAAATCCATTTCCTTTGTGCTGTTAATACCAAATATATATATTACAGGCCCCAAAATATAATTGTATATATATCATTTTCTACGATTGCTCTGCAAATCAGTTAAGAAAGGAAAAATATGCACTTATACTGTTCTACATAATTACACAATTACCTTTACTATGCTGGTGGCCTGCACCTCCCAGGAGATACCATAACCATTTACTAGCTGGGGGAAGGGCGAACCGTATTCTTGGCCATACCTTCCTGGAGCAGCCATCACTCTGAGCTGAGCGGGAGGAGAAAAGAAGGGGTTGGTGGATCCAATGCCACAAAGTCGCTGTTCCTACTGACTTCAACAGATTTTTCTAAATGTTTCTTCGTTCGCTGTATGTCTTTATGACAACTTCCGGACACTTGTTGTTTCCTCATCTCCTCCCCTTCATTACAAGTAGTGAAGTTGATTTAGAAAACAATGAGGAAGAAGTACTATAGCCTGGAGGCACCTAGGTGGATTCACGTAGAGGGAATTCAGTCAGAGACTGAGAAAATACTGCTATGGAGAGATATTAAAGTCAGATTGAAAATGCAGAGTCTAAATGAGCCCTTCTCCACTTCTCCATAGCTTCTGACCTAGAGAAGGTGTGAGGTGTCAAGGATGTGCATGGATCCTTCATAAACTGACATTTTCATTCATGTTTACTTCTCCACCCCCCAAACAATAGAAATGGAAATGCAAGTGCCTCCAGACACTTTAAGGGTTGCTTGATTTCTAATTTTCACCCGTTAAGCTTGTTTCATTACGAAACAGGTCTACAGAGCTCCTCATGCTACCATTCAAGAACTCAGTTTAGCTCCTCATGCTGCCCTTCTAGAACTCAGTTTCTTAGTTCTTTACAAAGTACTTTCACTTTACGAGGTAAATTTAATTTGATCCTCACAATTTTATGAAAGAAGCAGAGAAAGGATTCCTAGCCCTAAAGATAAGGCACAGAGGTGTGAAATAACTTGGCTAAAGTTATAAGGCCTATGAGAGCCATGAGTTCACTCAGGAAGTCCTTATTGATTGACTGCTCTGTGCTAAGCATTAGAAAAAAAATATTGAACAAGAGCTTATTGTATAGACATAAGGCAAAAATCAGGCAATTACAGCACAAGGTTAAGTGCTACAATGAAACATCTGATGCTTTAAACAATAAGGGCACCTCCTCCAGACTTGAGTAGAATTAGAATCTAAGCATTTTGATTCCTGATTCTATTTTTCTTGTAAATAGAAAGATGAGTTTGCTCAGAATAAAAAGGCACATTGAATAGTGGTTAAGAAAACAGACTGAAGCCAAATGGCGAGATGGTTTACATTTCAGCCCAATTATTAGCTGTTACCTTGGGCAAGTCACTTAATCTCTTTGCGCCTCAGTTTCCTCATCTCTAAAATGGTGCTAATATTACCTGTCCCTTAGGCTGAAAGATTAAAGAATACTAAGTATAATATACTTGTAATTGTATCTCATGTACAGTTTGTACTATACAAGTGATTGTTCAAAAAATTCTGTTAATGAGAGGATAGAGTTAAATACTGTACTCCTGCAAGAACATGCTTTTCAGTTTCCTCTAAAATGCTCACCTTCCTAAAGCTGAAATTGTCTTCTCAGGATACAGCACTTGTTTTATCAAAAATTATTTCATTTACACTGAAGTGGTTAAATGTGAGATTTTGAGTTAATTATGAAGAACACAGAACCCCAAACCAGCCAGCCACCAAAAAAAAAAAAAAAAAAAAAAAAAAAAAAAAAAAAAAAAAAAAAAAAAAAAAAAAAAAAAAAAAAAAAAAAAAAAAAAAAAAAAAAAAAAAAAAAAAAAAAAAAAAAAAAAATCTTCAGGAAATGATGGGATTTTCCAGGTTATTTGTATATTGTCATTGGGTAATTTTAAAATATGATTTTTACTACAGTACTTATTGAATTAATGCACTAGAAAACACATGTAACTTGTTTTAATTTTCTCTCAATGGGGAAGAATCACTGTCTACAGTTTGTTAAATTAAACCATTTTAAGATTCCAATAATGAACCAGTTAAATTTATGTTCTTTAGGGCAAATACTGAAACATTTATGCTGTACTTCAGATATAGTTATCATTCCATGTTCTATCAGTCTTGTTGAGCGTTCTGCAAAATTGGGAGCTATTAATGTGTGGAATGCCCATGCCCTTAGTAGTGTTATTAGATCTCTTAAGGCAGGAAAATATATTAAAATGTGGCTCAAAACATGGCTCTGCACTGAAGAGGGAAGTATCAGCTATTTGTAAGTGTTCCCAGCCCTCAACCCTACCCACCAAAGGTACCCACTTTCCTGGGAAACAATCTGATTTTGAGTATTAAGTGCCTCTCTAAACAGAGCCTACGTTTTTTATTTATAACATTTTTACATTTTTCTTCCTCTAGTACCACACTCTTGTGAGAAAAACAAGACTACTGCAAACATTACTTTTAATGGGAAAGTGTCAACATCTTATTTTATTATTAATGTAAGCATTTGATGCCAAAGAAAATGAAAGGTAATTTTACAAGCTCAGCATTTTTGTAAGTACATGAAATTTCCATTTTATTATATGGTTTTATATCACACTAGTTCAAACTCATTTCTCTACAACTATTCCAACATAGCTCCTTTGGAATTATTTCAGTCATCCCTAACGTTTGACTTTTAGATGAATGGGATAATAGTCATAAGATGATGATTTGGGGTGTTAATCTCCAAAGAACTTCACCAAAACGTTTCTTCTGATACAGCAGTTATAAATCAGAACCTTCAAAAAACAAGGGCAGAACAAGAGTACAATAAAAGAAGCTTCTGCAGCTTAAGCTTCCCATAGTCCTAAGCCTGACATAAGGAAGGCAAAGCATCTTTCCTGCAAACTAAATGGGTCTCCAGTATTTCCCTCTAGTCGAGCTTTCAGAGATCGGTGCCCAAGACATATCACTAATACACATATGCTCTTGACTCTGGTTGCATTAATTATGTCTAAAGAGTTTAATACCCATCCAAGTCCAAAGATGGAAGAACACATACACTGGTATGGTAATCGGCAAGAGGAGACTGTAAAAGCAAAGGCTGGTTGTGCTAGTGCAGCCCTGTGGGAAGTTTTCTTCCACAGAGGCTGAGTAGAACAGTCCTGCTAAAGAGACTAGTGGAATAAGAACAGTCAATGTAGGAAGAGACAGAAACATTCTTCTTCCCCACTTATTACCCACCACCTTGTTTTAAAAGGTATATAGTATTAAGAAAATTTGTTGTATTTTTAAAATTATGACCTAGCGCTGCTCCATTTCTTCTTGCTTCTTACTTTGATGTATCATTCTAGCTGCCTGTGGTATCATATTAGGAATCCCATCAATGATTGGGTAGGCTATTCCCAACTCTTCATTAATCAATTCATTTGTTGATGCTTCATATCTGAGGGGGAAAATAAACAACAACAAAATGAATTGTGGAAAACAAAGTGCTTGGAAGGGCTTGAAGTTCAATAAATAACATCATTTATCTAATTCTTGACATAAAGTTAATCTCGGAACAGTCTTCTTTAATTCTAAAAGCAGCAATAGCCAATTCAACCAGTTTTCCTAAAACCTACAATTGTTCTCATTTAATGTTTCTCTCACATTCCATTCTTCACTTTATTCCAAAGTTATGCCTTAATTTTTTTCTCATAGCAGTCAGAAAAGATCTTCTCCTTTTATCCAAATATTCCTCCATTACTTTAGTTAACCCCCAAACCATCCCTGTTAATTTACTATTGGAACAGAAACTAGAAGAAAATTCAACTTCCTCCTTTCAGAATAAATGCTAAATAGAAAAACTTAACTGATCCATTAGAAGGAAACCACTGAAAAATCAAAATATGCAAAATAAAAGTTTAAGATGAGAGGTCAGAAAACGAGGAAACTTTGGAAAGCAATTGAGTCTGCAGTGAGCTAGTTATGCAGATAACTAAAAGGTAAATCAAATGGTAATTTCAAGATTTAAGGAAATTGAACATGTTCATTATAGGGAAAAAAACCTAGAAAAGAAATATGAAAATAAAATAAAATTATAAATAAAATAAAATAAAACTAGCTAGCAATCTACCATCCAAAGACAACCAACCACTAACATTTTGGTGTTTAGTTATGAAATTTGTAATACTGGTGTTATTAATACTCAGTTTCAGTAGCTTCGAACTATATTAAAGGTTAAAGAGGTTTTTTTTTTACAAAACCAGCTGGCCCACACTAGCTGCCAATGGGCAGCACACATAGTTTAAACGCTTAAGATGGTCACGCATCCGGTGTACACGTCACTTTTACAAGAATCTGGAGGGTACTACAATACTTTTCATCATCTTGGCTTAAAAACCTGAATGCCTCGGACTTGCCCTAAATCTCTATGGTTCATAAACCTGGCTGTAGATAAGAATCACTTAGGGACCTTTTAAGAAATTACAAATAGGCCCCGCCCCCAGGCACTCTGACTCTGTCGTCCTTGGGAGGTCCCCCGTTGCCTGGAAGGCGCAGCCAGCGGCGGACCCAGAAACCCTTGGATCCATTCCCGCAGGCCGGCGGTTTGATGTGGCAGGTCCGGGACTCCGCTCCCCGAGGGCCTCCTCCAGAAAATGGCAGCGGAGAACACCCGGAGTGACCTGAAAGGCTCCCCTCCCCGCAACGGGAGGCCGCGAAGGGAAACCCGAAGCCAGGGGATCTCACCTGAGCGGCTTCTTGGAGAGCGGGCACACCAGGAACTCCAGCAGCGCGGGGTCGAAAGTGCGGGGCGGCTCCTCCGCCCTCTCGCTCCGGTCTGCCAACGGCCGCGACCCCGACGCGTGCAGGCGCCTACGGGCGACCTCAGACGGCGGCGCGAGTGTCCTCCGCAGCACTGAGGCGAGCCTGCCGCACGCTCGGCTCAGCATGGTCTGGCAGCCAGCGCCTCCCTGCGCCCTCAGCCAGCCGGGTCAGCGTTCCTCTCTCCCCGCTCGTCAAGCCGTGCCGGCCAGGCCACGCCCCCGGTGTCCGCTGAAACACTGTCCCCGAGCGGGCGGGGGCTGGCACTTTGGTTCCGCCGGCGCTCCTGACTCCCTTGCTCTTCCCGCGGGCACCGCTCGGTACTTAAGAGCGCGGTGGGTGAACGGAGCCCTCAGGTGGCTGCTCCACCGCGTCTACTAAATTACAGACAGTATCAATGCTTAAGTCAGGGTGTCTGAGTTTTTACCAGGTCCTATCGCGGGGATGCCAGGAAGCCATTGGCCAGACCTCAGAGTCACACAGCTTGGACCTGTTAGGCTTGGACCTGTTAGGCTTGGACCTGTTAGGTCAGTGGCTTCAAACACATTGTCATAGTGGGTGTGTTAAAGGTGTTCATTTGTTTAACGTAAATCTTTACTATATCACAGTTTCTGTAACCTTGCTTGGCTTTTTTTTTTTAATCATTAAAAAAAAATTAAGAACCTGAAAATAATAGGCTTAAGCTTCTTACCCTCTAAGACGTTCAGATACTTACCGTATGCGACAATTCATTGTGAATTCAATTGTGTAACGAAGCACAACTAATTTACTTCAATAAATGAGCTTGGAGGCAGCAAGGAGTCTAACTGTGTAATCAGGCAACTGTCCATTCGTCAAATGGGCATCCATTAAGTGGATTGTTGATCCTAAGTTTGCCTCTGACTGTTCAAGAAAGTGATGCGTATTTGATCTTTTTCTTCCAATGTAGCAGACAAGAACTTGGGCTCTGGGTTTTGACTGCTTGGTTGCATGTCCACAGTTTACTAGCTGGATGACTCCAGCAAATAACTGCTCAGTTTCCTTCTGTGTATAATAATATTAGTAATTGTACCTACCTTGTGAATTCCCCTGAAGGTCGGAGGTTAATGTGATAGTGCATGCAAAGAACATTTAGAAAAGTGCCTGGCGCGAATTAATGCTCAATTGATGTTATCTATCGTTATTTTTATTTCATCTAGTCTTCCCAGCTCAATATACACAAAGGTTCTTTGTTAGTCATCCATTTTTTCCCTTTATTTTGCTGAATATTGGCTTGAACCTTTTTTTTTTTTTTTTTACATCATTGGGCTTCATCATTTCACAGTTTGAGTTCCTGGGGGTGAGTAAGTGTATAAAGATATAAATACAAGTTTATATTTTCAAATTTCTCTTCCACTCAGCAATGTAAAAATAAATTTAGAAATTTTTATATTATTTGTTCATTCTATGTTTTCTTTAATTTTATTATTTTTATTTTTTTATATTCTATGATCTTGAAGAGCAGTTGGGAAGAGGGGAAGATGGGAAAGGGGAAGGAAATGTGATGGAAGAAGGAAGAAGGATGAGGGACAGAATTTAGGACTGTGGCACCCCCCTCATTCCCACAGGGGAGACGGGGGCTTCCAGTGGTGGCTTGGTCATTGCCAGGCTGGGTGCAGATGTCAGGGAGGTGTGGCAAAAGCCCTTACCCCCACCACCCCAGCTTGGGAACCTGGGGCCCTTCTTGCTGCGGCTTGGTGGTTGTCACTGGGCTGGCTGTGGGTGGTGGGGGGCTGTGGCTGAGGCCCTTGGTCCCCCCACTGCCCCAGCTAGGAAGAGCCGGGGGCACTTCCTGCGGTGGCTTGGTGGTTTTTGCTGGGGTGGTTGTGTGTTTTGGGGGTTTAGCCAACTCCCAAGCCCCCCACCCTCAGGACTGGTTGCGGGTGTTGGGGGACATGGCTGAGGCCCGTGGCTCTCCCAATTTCTGGCTTAGTAGCCCATTGGACTTCCAGTCCTTCTAGGTGTTATAAGTGTTTTTTGGTGAAATGAGACCTTTACTAGTTAATATCAAACTTTATCTCTGGTTGTGGGTACTTTATTTTCTCTTTCAGTTCTGTATTGGATTATATGCGGTTCCCACAGCTTAAACTCTGCACTGGAACTAATTCGTTGTCCTTTGCTTACTTCTAAAGTGGTGGAACTTCCTGTGGGAACCAGCATTTGAGCTCTGTGGTTGAGCTAAATTGCTACTTTGTTGCTGGTTCCCCAGGGAAGGCTTTTTGTGCAGCTCAGGTTTTAATGGTTGACTTTATAGGTACCTCCGGGTCTAGAGAAATCCAGGGCACATGGGTTATGTAGAAACTCTGGTCTGGGCCTGAGTTCACCTCATGCAATTCTATATTTCTGACCAGTCTCCTCTGAGTGGTCCTACACTGATTGGGGGGCAGATCAGTTGTCCTTGCTGTGCCCCAGTGTTCCTCTGGTGGGTTTGTCTCCTCCACCCACTGTGCTCCAAACACTTCCCATGGGACAGGCAGTGCTCCACTCCCTTGCAAGGACTCACTGGCCTCTGAGTGGCTCCTTTTTTTCAGTTGTTGTTGCTCCTCGCTCCTATGTGGGTCCACAGGAACCCTATTAGTGGTCTTGCTGGCCTAGGGGCCACCAAAGCTCTCTTCTCCCCTGCTGCCTCCAAGCATCTTCATCTGAAGGGCACAGCTGTGGCTTTTGCAAGCTCCTGCTCCATGCGCTCAGTAGCTCCAGCCTGGAAGCAGCTTGGAATCAAAATGGTCAGAGCAGTTTTTTCTTTCTCTCATGGTGGCTTCTCCCACCTTCATATACTCTGTAGGTCTCTCCTCCTCTTCCCATGACCTTTAGTGGCCCTAGTGTGGCTGTCGTTGCTTTTCTATACTTGTAAATTGGTTGATATGTGGGAGAGTGATACTGGGGACCATCTATTCTGCCATCTTGACCCCATTCTATTTTTTTTATTGTTCATTAGTATGTTTTATTTATTTATTATTTTTATTTTTTACTTCTCAAAATACATTGTACTTGATTTTCATGTCCATTTACCTGTTCCACTCCACCCCCTCTCTTCCCCCCACATCATATATGTTCACTTGATTTAAATAGTTCAAGGAATTTTTGTGGTTATTCTGTCTTCTCCCCCCCCAACCCTTTATTTTTTTGTGTGTTTATTTGTTTATTTTTAGCTCCCACAAATAAGTGAGAACATGTGGTATTTCTCTTTCTGTGCCTGACTTGTTTCACTTAATATAATTTTCTCTAAGTCCATTGATGTTGTTGCGAATGGTAGTATTTCATTCTTTTTTATAGCAGAGTAGTATTCCATTGTGTAGATGTACCACAGTTTCCATATCCACTCATCAGATGATGGACATTTGGGCTGGTTCCAACTCTTGGCTATGGTAAATAGAGCTGCAATAAACCTTGGAATACAGGTATCCCTTCGGCATGATGATTTCTATTCCTTTGGGTATATTCCCAGCAGTGGAATTGCTGGGTCATATGGTAGATCTGTCTGTAATTGTTTGAGGAACCTCCATATCATTTTCCATAAAGGCTGCACCATTTTGTATCCCCACCAACAGTGAATGAGAGTTAATTTTTCTCTGCAACCTCTCCAGCATTTATCATTCACAGTCCTTTGGATGTTAGCCATCCTAACTGGAGTGAGATGGTATCTCAGTGTGGTTTTGATTTGCATTTTCCGGATGCTGAGTGATGTTGAGCATTTTTTCATGTGTCTGTTGGCCATTTGTATACCTTCCTTTGAGAAATGCCTGTTCAGCTCCTTTGCCCATTTTTTAATTGGGTTATTTGTTTTTTCGCTGTAAAGTTGTTTGAGTTCCTTGTATATTCTGGATATTAATCCTTTGTCAGATGTATATTTTGCAAATATTTTCTCCCACTCTGCTGGTTGTTTTTTTACACTGTTGATTGTTTCTTTTGCTGTGCAGAAGCTTTTTTGTTTGTTATAATCCCACTTGTTTATTTTACCTTTAGTTGCCTGTGCTTTTGGGGCCCTATTCATGAATTCTGTACTCACTGCTACTTCCTGGAGTGTTTCCCATATGTTTTCTTTAAGGAATTTTATTGTTTCAGGAGTATATTTAATTCTTTAATCCATTTTGAGTTGATTTTGGTATATGATGAAAGGTATGGGTCTAGTTTCATTCGCCTATATATGAGTATCCAATTTTCCCAGCACCACTTGTTGAAAAGGCAGCCTCTTCCCCAGTATGTAGATTTGCTGCCTTTGTCAAAGATCAGATGGCTGTAGGCGTATGGATTGATTTCTGGGTTCTCTATTCTATTCCATTGATCCGTGTGTCTGTTTTTATGCCAGTACCATGCTGTTTTGGTTATTACAGCTTTGTAATATAGTTTAAAGTCAGGTAGTGTTATGCCTACAGCTTTTTTTTTTTTTGCTCAGTATTGCTTTGGCTATGTGTGGTCTTTTGTTATTCCATATAAATGTCTCTATAGTTTTTTCCATTTCTGAGAAAAATGTCATTGGAATTTTGATGGGGATTGCATTGAATCTGTAGATCACTTTGGGTAATATGAACATTTTCACAATGTTAATTCTTCCAATCCAAGAGCATGGGGTATCTTTCCACCTTCTTGTGTCCTCTTTAATTTCTCTCAACAGTGGTTTATAGTTCTCTTTGTAGAGATATTTCATACCCTTGGTTAACTTTATTCCTAAGTATTTTATTTTTTTGGTGGCAATTGTAAATGGGCAAGCTTTCTTGATTTATT